TGTTCATGCAATATTTTAAAGAACTGAGCCGGTGTGTGTGGTGTTCCCTCCACATTCAAAATAAAAACCAATAGCGAAATGAAATGCATCAGTTGCCTGAAAAATATGCACAAGACAGGAAAAATATGCACAAGACAATGATCCAAAAGGATGACGTATCACTATGATTTAGGCTTTGAATATTGGCATATTTCTCAAGTTCCTCAAGCTAACTAAACTGGCCACTTAGTCTATGTCACCTGTATGATACAGTGACAACACTTTTGCAAAAATTAAAAAATTAAAAAAACAAATTCAGGTCCATTGCCATTGAGTGGATTCTGACACCGAGCAACCCTATTGGGCAGAGCAGTCCTGTTACATCGTGTTCCCAAACTTTAAATCCTCGTCGGAGCAGGCAGCCTCCTCTTTCTCTTGTGGAGCCACTGATATATTTTAATTGTCAGTTTTGCAGTAGCGGCCCAATGCATACCCCATGACACCATGAGGGATCCGAACAAGGCCCTTTAGATAGTGAGAAAATAAAGACATATGAATTTTCCATAGGAAGCAACTATTATCGTTGTAGTGTGATCATTAGCGGATTACAACTGGTATATTGATTTCAATGATAGTAATCATATTTGAAAGCGGGATTTAGCAATCAGGGTAACCAAAATGTGACTGGTACATGAACTGTGGACTATGGAGATTGCAGATACTTACAGAAGAATGCAAGGGCACTTTTCTGGAGGAAGTGAAACAATTTTGGAGTTGTGCTTCTTGAATAAAATAATGATTTGCAAATAAATATGCAGTGTTCTCTTTCAAGAAGACAGCAGACTATGCGTGCTCTAAGAATAAAATTAGACTAACGTGTCAGATGCCAAAAGGCAATTTTTGACTGAAAAGTTCATAGCAGTTGCAGCAGGTTTAAAAAAAAAAGATGAGTTGCCTTCTGATTTAAAACCTTTTCTGGGGGTAAATTCTTGTACTGGGAAAATGATGAAATTAGATGATTTCTAAGTATTTGCAGGTTGATAGTTATTTGGCACCAGCAAAATATACCACACTTTAGTTAAAGGACAATTAGGCAAGCATTGGTTTGTGTGAGGACATTGATCTCATATGAATATACCTCTGGGAGCAATACTACTTAGAGGAAGATGAAAATCGTATCTCTGCCCATATGTGAAGTGGAATAATGGGTGTTTTTCTGATTGTCTGTTGTTATTTAGCTAGCATTTTTCTTTTCTTTTTTAAGAGTCTCCATAAAGGATGGTATCCTATAGACATGTGTCTGTGAGGGAGAGGCCTGTGATCCAACTTTTTCCTCTCTCTTTCTAAATAAACTCAATGCCTGAGGCTTTTCCTTAAGGCTCCAAGATTCTGCAAAACAAAATAAATTGTGTGTGCATGTCAGTCTGTGTGAATGCAGGAGCAGGGGTGCATTACCTCATTTTAAATAATGAAACCTCCAAGTGTTTGGGGGGATTCTTGAATTAATTTGAATTACAAAATATTTTTTGAAAATCCAGTGAGGCTTAGTTATAATTGCTGAGAGAAAAGCAAAGAGAATTGCAAATGGGTCATGGAGCCACTGCATACTAATTGAGCTTGCATCTCTTAGTGTTTTATCTTGAATTTTATCCAGTGTTGTCAAAGCTGGAGATTTGTCTTACCACCCTGGGTGGCTGAAGATACATGGTTGGAAGCAGATTTTCATTTAACAAGTACAAGCATTAGTCCCTCCTGATTGTAAATAAGTGATGGAATATTTAAAACCTTTGGTGTCACATGCAGATATAATTTGTAACCATATCCATGTCTGTCCCTTAAAACTTTCTGTCTTTTCATCTTTAAAAATTAATGTCTTAGATACACAAATGGACTTCTTAAAGTTCATGAAAAATATGATTATCTTTAAATTATATTTTTCACAAATGTTTTAAAACCCGCTCCATATATGGTGCTTCCTAAGATCGAGTGTAAAGAATAAGAATGATGAACCCTTTCAACATAAATGTTTTTGTTTTGCTTCTCAAGTAAGGAGATATCTTATTTTTTTATACTTGAATTTTTCTTTAATCGTTCTATACTTTTTTTTCTCATTTGAATTCCCATTAGTTGCCTCTTCAGTCTCTTCTAAAACTATTTGTCATGTCTCTGAAATAAAGTTGGTAGATATGATTTCTCAGGCTACTAATATTTTCTTTATTCTAAATAAAATGTTCTTATTAAGTGTTTTATTTTAAAAATAATTTCTGAGACCTTTCACTTTCTCAAAACCCTTCCCTATTCTTTGGTTATATATTTCTTCATATTTACTTGTTCTATT